TGTGTGTGTGTGTGTGTGTGTGTGTGTGTGTGTAAGACACAGAGGATAATGATACTGACTTGCGGAGTTCTCCGTCCAAGTGCTGTTGTCTGAGTCGTTTGAAGTTTGGCTCCTGAGCATTGTACTCCTCCATGCTGGTGTCATAGAAACCCTTAAAATCAAAAGTCACAATAAGTTAATGAGCCAACATCGTGGATTCTGTTCCGTTATATAACAACAATTATAAATATTAAATTAAATAATACAGTAAATGAAGACTCTGACTACCTGTGCAGGTTTCTTTTCAAAGGGAATTTCAGCATTGTAGTCCACTCCTCTCTTCTTCTTCCTCTTCTTCTGAATATCGATTCCTGCTGCTCTCAGCTCCCTACGCTTCTGCAGAGCGGCCAACCGTCTGCAGCAGGATGTGAATTAAACAGTTAATTGTGATAACTTTTACAGCAGGTTAGTAAAAACTGATCAAGATCAAGAAAGTATTTTCAAACGAACAAACAGAAGTGTATGGACTCAGTCTGACCTGGCTTCCTCCAGCTGTTTCTCTCTGGCCTTCCTCTTGGCTTTCTTGCCTTGGGTGTTGGCGAGTCGAGCCCTGGCCTCTGACAGCATCTCCAACTCATCTACAGACAAACAAACACAATTGATTTAATCTTATAGACACAAGTGTCAGGTTTAAACTGTTGTCTCATATAGCTTCCAAACAATATAAGCTCCAGATGATTCTACACTCAAAATTCTTCTGCAGAAAATAATTCAGTTTTTAAAATGAGCTTTCTGGAAACATCAGTCTCTTCATCACTGTGACGATATAAAATGTTACTGTACCTTCGTCCATATCCACAGGGTCAGGTCTGGCAGGTTTGGTTTCAGGGTTGGGGTCGATCTCCCCTGGTTTTAACTTCCTGGGGTCGTCTCCCACTTCCTCCTCATTGTCCCTTTGTGCTGCCTTGTCTCTAAACACACACACAAATAAAACTAGATTTTAAACTTAGCTACTAGACAAGGATTCAGACGGCTCTACACAATGATAGAGGTCAAGCGTCTGTGTGGAATATATCATGTTAACTTAACTGTAAGTGTTAAGCATATGTATAAATATGTGTCGGGTCGTATAGAAACCTACAGCAGGTATTCATAGTGCTCCAGACACTGGGCGGCAGTGCGTCCTATGATGGGAGCGATGGTCCTCCACTGAGTTGGCATCAGTTTTGCCAAATGAAGCAGTTTCTCCTCCTCTTCTCTGGACCATTCTGTTTTCTTAATGCTGGGGTCCAGCCACTCGTACCTGCAGACACACACACACACACATCCAAGGTGAATCACCGTCATTTAGATCAAGTTATCTCATTGATCTTGTGTGCAAAGCAAACTTCCTCACAGAGGAAATAACGGGCACATTAAAAAGCAGCAAGAAACAACCAAAGTTCTTAGAGATGTAAATAAAAACAACAGCTTTAATTTATCCTTTAGGGTTTTAGAGCTGTTGTAATTTTTTTTATTAATAAGGGAACAAAGTTTGTTTACCAAGTTTAAGACTTACACTTAAGATGCTTTCTATATATTCTATTTATTTTGCCGTCACACATCTCCGTATCAGACTCACCATCTGGCTTTACACTGTTTGGCGGACTTGCGGTGCAGCAGGGAAGCGATACGAGACCACTGGTTTTTCCCATATTTCATCACCGCCGCCTTGAGGATCTCATCCTGGGAAAATAATCAAATTTTAATAACGAGTAAAACACACAAGTCGTCTTCACACGTCTCTGATCCAACGCTTCACATGTATCAACCTCTGAGGGCAAAACCTATTCCAATCAATTTGTTTATTCAAGTTCTTCTTGTTTATTTTAGGCAGACAGAATAACTTAACACACATCGGGACAGGGAGATAACAGAATAACAATAACTGCATCGTACACATACATATCATCATGATACATTCAGATTGGACATGTGCACGTGAGCTAAGGATTCTTTCAATAACTCATTTTACACATAAACTGTATATATCCCCATGCAAGTCTTCTGTCCCTACTCAAGTATCTTTCTCTACAAATATATTCTGTCTGTAGTGAATGATGCATATCATCTATATGTTTGCTGCATTTATATATATATATGTGTGTGTGTGTGTGTGTGTCCTCTTGTCTGTTGCAGTAACCAGTGAATCCCACAGTGTGTGATCACTAAAGTTCGATTAACCGACGAACCACAGACGCTGCTGGACTTCACACGAGTTTGTTTCTGACACATTTGCAGTAAATCGAATTCCACCGCTCAGAATAATGTGGAGTGAACAGCAGATTCATTATTGGAGCCTGAGTTCATGTTGATAATTACAGTTCAGCTTCGATTCGACATAATCTTGTTTCCACAAAACTAAAGCAGTTGGCGGCGGCGCCACCGAGGAGCCAAACAATGCTAGGTTAGCTGCTAGCTTCATGCTAGCCACGACCCGTAGGTTTTACAGTGTCTGGTTAGCCTGGCGCTAGCTGCGGCTAGCCGTGTCAACACGTACCTCGGTGTTGCGCCACACTCCTCCTTTAATCATGATGCGCGGCATGTCTGCGGTCGGTTCTGCCGCTGTTCCTCCACAGACACGAGAAAGTGGAAGAGTTCCACCGACAACAAACTAAACCAAACAACTGACGGCGTCCACACAGACGCGAGGCAGCTACGGACGTGCACAAGCAACTTCCGCCGGAAACCGGTGTCGCAGCGTTCAATCCGCCGAGGTGCATTGTGGGCAATATACCGCAGGTGTTACGGCGAGATTCGTCCCCACCGTCATTTAGTGTCGCTGTTTAAACTTAGCGAACTGATTAAAAACTAAACCAGTTAGTTAAAAAAAAAGACACGTGTTTAATTGAACTGGTTAAAATTCAACCAGTTAACTTTCTGATGTTAAATCACCGAGATGTTAAGACACGGAGGAGCCTAACGAAGGGATGGTAAACATACATTCGATGGGGGAACAAACGTCTTCACAACACCGGTACCTGAATCTACGAGTGGATTGTTTTTCTACTTTTAAATAAAAAAGTTAAAAAGTCCCAAAAGATGATGTTTAATTATCTGTGAATAATAATGCACACGTAAAAATATATATGAAGGAAAGACGACGCTTTGGAGACACTGAATTGAGTTTATAGCTTTTAAATGTTTGTCAATTTCTTAAGTATTATAATTAAAACAGGTTTTGTGGCCTGAGCCTTTAATCAGCTGAGTTTTCTCCATCTGTCGCACAAGTCTGGTGTCTTTGTGATGGATTCACACACAAACATCTTCTTAATCTAATTCTAATAATCTCTGTCTCCTTTTAATGTGTCTGCGTGTTTATATTTAACCTCATTGACAAGAGAAATGCAACAGCGTCCTCGAGGGGTTTGGGAATCTACTTGCACTCTTGAAGCATGAATAAATACATGAACTGTTGTTTACATTCATCAGTCTTCAGTTACAGCAACGATTCAAGGTTTTGATGAAGTTGATGTTTAAGTGGAAATCTGTTCAGTCAAATCATCTGTGTACATTTATAGTCTGTATTTTTAATTTATTCAAAGCTGCAAACTATGAAATATACTATGTATGTCAGTCTTGCTAAATTAGTTGATTTATTTCAAATGAACACTGATTTCATGGAGATTTATTGGAGTCAATGATGCATGTTCTGTGTCCATGTTGAAAATAAATATATCATGGTCTGGTTTTCTCACCGTGTGTATGCAGCCATGTTTTACAACTGAGAACACAACAGATCAGTCACACATCTGGAGCGATGGTGTTTTTATTTCAACTCTGAGGTACATATTTACTGAGTTCACGCAAATGATACCAGGCTACATGTATGTTGTTCACACGTTAGCACGATACACGTAGAACACTTAAATCCACATGACAACAGACATGCACAAACAAGGCAGTGACGGGGCGTCTGCGCTGGCGGCAAACTGCACCGACCAACGATAGGCCTCAACACAAAGAACCACAAATGGGTGATATCACTGAATTGATGGGACCGAGGGGGGTGAGGAGAGGAACGAGGGAAGACAGAGGAAGAAGAGGAGGAGGAAGAGGAGGAGAGGGAGTATAGGGGAAGAGAAGAGGAGAGCAGAGGGGCTAATACCTAAAATATTAAGACAAATCGTAACACTGAGCACCATAATATACAATAAATAATATTTTCAGTATTGACAATAAATATCAATGATCTCATAAATAACATTATTATCCCTTTATCAATAACATATATCCTTAAATCTCAACATATACTTTCTCTCTCACACACACTCACACCTTTTTCTGACCATTCTCTCTTGCGTACATTTCTGTCCAGTGTTACGAGAGCAATACTGCAGGGGGACGGGGGACACGAGGTGGTTTTAAAGGTGATGCTTAGTTTGTTGGGGGTCACATGCAGACTCATATCTACAACTGTAAACTCCCTCAGTCACACCGTCCCTCCTTTAAACCTCTAGAATCATCTTTCCTTCTCCTTTCACGTCTTTCCTTACCCATAATTCTCCCTTCCTTTTCTTGAATTAACAACCCCCCTGTGCCGTTATCTTCTGTCTTTCTTCTCTTCCCCCCTTTCTCCCTCCCTCCTTACCCCCCCTCGTTAAATTTGTCTATTTCAGGTCCCCGGCGTCTCCCTGGATGGTCTTTTTGATGCGGAGCAGCATCGTGGTCAGCCACTGGTCCAGACGAGACACTGAGTCGAACTCCTTGACGGCCTCCGTGAACGCCTCGCTGTTCTGCTCCTCGTGGGCTTCTAGGAGTTTCTGATGCAACAAAATGTAAAGATTAATATTTTTTACCAGCAGAGGAGAGAGAGGTTTCTTCTCAGGAGAGGCAGATGACCTCGATAAGGTCCAAGACGCATTTGACAAAGAAAAACATTGAATGTTTTTTTTTGTGATTGAAGTTTTTTTTTTAATCTTCCCTGGTTATATTGAAGTGGAACTTTGAACTGAGCTTGTTGGTATTTACAGAGTGGCAGAAAAGAAATGAAGAGAACCAGAAAAATAAGACGGAGCAGCTCAGTGAAGTTAAATTTCATAACGATCCATCCAATAGATTTTAAGAAACGTTTTTTTCAGCCTGGACCACAGTGACAGACTCAACATGACCACAGACTCGTGATGACAGCAGATCGAAAACATCAGGTACCTTTAACAGTTTGAGCTCTCTGGAGTCGGAGAAAGCTGGAAACATCTCCTCGTATTTCTCGATGGCCAACTGAAACACACAAGTGCACGAGTAATCAGTCACAGATGATCTCCACGTACTCGTTCAGTTAGAAACACTAAGGTCAGGATGCATTAGAGTGTGTGTGTGTGTGTGTGTGTTACCTTGGCGTTCAGTTCGTCCACTATGAAGTGACACAGCGAGGCCTTGAAGAAATACTCTTTAGCGTTGTACTTCAACAAAGGATTGTCCATGGTGCTCATGGCAACCTGAATCACACACACAAGCATTACAGTACTGTGTGTGAATATAAGTATAAATACAATATCTGAATATTAAATGAGTAATACTGAATATTAAATGAGTAATATTAACTGAAGCTGTTACCTGTTCATAGATTTCGATAGCTTTCTGGTACTGCTCCAGCTGAGCGCTGTAGTGTCCGACCTTCAGGAGACATTTGTTGGCTGAGCTGAAACAAACACAGAAACACACGAGTGAAGGTCCGACGTGTTCGTTTCCGTCAACACCTCAGAGTAAAAACATTTATTTCTTCAAGGCTGAGGTTTCGTAGGAAGCCTTCACACTGCGGTGGTTTTCATTTACCTGTTGGATTCTTCTCCCTTGTAGTAATCTGCTGCCTGCTCATAGTGAGCAATGCCCTGAAAACACAAACACACCAGAACGTAACGCACAGAATAAAACTGTAGAAGATGTTTCAAACATCTGATTCAGGTTCAATTCATCCAAGAAAGAATGAATTTAAAAAAAGGGAATCATTTTGTGCTTCACTTTACCTTTTCGATATCAACCAGCTCAGATTCGTAAACCTCCGCGATAGTGATGTGATGTTTGGCTGCAATAGTGAAACGACCCTGTAAAACGCACACACACACACACACACACACACACACACACACACACACACACACACACACACACACAGGGGATAAGGTGAGAATGGCAAAGTCAAAGGTCAAAGGTCGGAGGCAGCAGCTCGGCGGTGGAGCCGGAACTCACCATGTCGGTGTAGATGTCGATGGCCTGGTTTAAACAGTTGATGGCCTCTGGAAACAGAAGATAAGATGTTTTTGAACGTCTGTTACGAGGAAACTGAAATTAAAAAACCACCTGAGCTGAAGCCGTCTGAGTTCACTGAGCCAAATTAAAAGTCCGCACTCTCGGCTTCCTCCCAGGAGGGGCAGGAGATCCGATGAAACATAACCCACATTTCAATTTTCCTCCAGCAAATCCGAGACACAGTTTAATCCTGAAAGAAACACCTCCTCTGGGTCCCGACTGAGAAGCTTCTCCTTTCACCTCGTCACCAGAAAACATGGACGGAGCGTTTGAGAGCGAACGTTTGTCAGTAATTAGTCGATAATCAATCATCTGATGGATCAACGTGTCCGAACATGACGAGGCAGGAATCACCACAGCTGACTGACAGCTAAAGATCTCATGGACAGATTAGCAGATTAGCGTGAATCAATTTTAATTTGTCAGTTTCCAGATTCTCTCACGTCGTTTATTCTGAGTCCAGTGGTGAGAAGTGACTTCGTACTGTTTACTCAGATACTTGTACTTTAACTCGAGTACTTCTACTTTATGCTGTGTAATGTCGCATCACATTCACGTGCGTGTCTGTGGGACAGCAGTGCTCACTCACCCTGTGGGTCGGCCTTCTTGTAGGCGTTGCCTGCGTCGACGAAGCTGGTGGCAGAGTCCAGTTTGTTCTGGAGCTGCATGTGGAGCCGGGCGGCCTGACAGAACGCATTCCCTGCAGCTACACACACACACACACACACACACACACACACACACACACACACACACACACACACACACACGCTTTAACAAATGCAAATATAATCCACATTCTGTCTCTAGCGGTTCTGAATCTACCTTTTGACCAAACCAAAATCCTGTTTCCTTAATTTTCTCTCAGACAAAAGTCGTGACTGTTTTTTTTTTTTCAACACTCACATCTGGAAACATGATCACAGATCGAGATGCTCAGTGTGAGCTATTATTGGCACAGCTGGATCACAGCTGCTTCCCGTGTGTGTCGCTTCATTTTTAAATTCACTGTGCGTGTGTTTTTTTTAAAGCTCTTGCTGCTGAACATGGTCATAAAATATTCTCTGTGAGCTGGTGAATCATTTATGTTCTGATAAGTGTGTGTGTGTGTGTGTGTGTGTGTGTGTGTGTGTGTGTGTGTCACCTACCACTCCAGTTCTTTGCCATCTTAAACATGTTGGCTGCTCTGGCGTACATTTCACAAGCATCCTCCACCTTATGGTTCCCCCTGTTACACAAACAAACATTTTTTATTATTTCTTTTTCTTTTTATCAAATTTTGAACATGTGACGTCTTTTTAAAAAGCAGAAAACTTGTCTTTTGGCAGTGTTTCTAAGCTTTTACTTTAATGTTGTGAACTCTCACAGTTTTCATTTCTGTATCAAAACTGACTTGTGTTAATTTGTGCATCTGCTTTTGATCGAGCTTATATTCAGATTCAAGGTCATGTGACTACAGCTTGAACTAGTTCACACAGTATTATTGTATGATTGTATTTATATCTCCAGGTTCCATGTGTTGAAGTTTATTGTTCTAATCTATGTCCAAACAAGGATAATTTACAGATTCTACAATAAAAATAAAAATATGTGGATCAACAACCCACTGAGCCACTAAATGACCCTGAATTAATTTAGTTCATCTCTTAACTTGAGGCTGAGGCTCATTAAATAAACATGGTGCCGCCCGTGGGGTGAAAACAGATGTGAGCCATTCTGGGTTTGAGGACACAGATTATAGTTAAAAGTGTGTGTGTGTATAATCTATAACACAGAAGTTCGTATGAGGAGGATTCCAAAATGTGGAAAAAGACTGAACACGGAGGCAGAGAAGAAGATTTGACATCTGATAATATTTCATAAAACCTAAAGCATTAGTCAGCATTACTCAAGTATCAATAAGGTAAAAAAAAAACTACACTGTCATGTAATTTTACTTCCAGTCTGTGAGCTTGTTATATAGATATATATATATAACAATAATCTTTCTTCATACATGATTGAAATGATTATCAAAATAATTATTTTGATAATTGAGGAATCAATTATTGATTATAATGATAAAACGACATATTGATTCTTCCTTTGATATATTTTTATATATAAATATATAGTTTTTAAGATGCTGCACAGTTTTACTTTAACTTCATTAATAAATATAAAAAAATAAATCCTAATTTGTTTGCATGATTCCATCTTACTTGTAAACATCACCCTCCCACACACGCACACTCACACACGCTCACACAGACACGCACACTCACCCTCCCACACACACACACACACGCACACACGCACACACACACGCACACACACGCAGCCCCCGCATCATCACTGTTTCCTTCGCACCGTCTCTAACTGCGCTGCGCTGCCCGCCTCCCCTCAGCCCTGGCGCGGCCTCACGCTGCAGCTCAGCCCGCACACATCCCGCATCACCACGTTTACATCTGTGTTGCGTGACAGGCCTCGACACGCAGGCCACATTATCATTACTCTTCCTTATCGGCCACAGGCTCAACGACAATCCTGAGAATAATCTCCAGAAGGACATAATGTCACAGCACATACACAACAAAGATGATGTGAATATTAAAAATATTAAATTCTACTGATGCAACACTGGAACCCTGCAGCTCATCGCTGGATGCTGCAGACGCATGATGGGGATTTTTTTTTTTTGTATTTTAGCGTTGAGTCGGTGCAGAAGAGCAGAAGCAGAGTGGCGGGCCCTGCAGGAATCCCTCCCCCACCAGAGAGAGGCAGAGGCGGGTAAACACAGACACGGACAGCATCCTTTACCCGAACATTCCTCCCAGGAACGATCCGGACGCCTTGACTTTCTTGTCGGCTTCAGCCATCAGCTGCATGGCCTCCTTCTCTTTGCCGGAGTTGTCCATGACGAGCCGGGGTCTGCCGCTGGAGGAGGTCCGGGAGAAAACAGGCCGAGGATCCGCAGTGGAGAGAGGAGGAGAGAAGAGGAGGAGGAGGAAGAGGAGGAGGATGATGATGATGATGATGTCTGGTGCTGATGCTGAGGGGCTGCGGCTCTTCTTCTGCAGAGAGAGAGAGAGAGAGAGAGAGAGAGGAAGCTCATCTGCAGCTCGATGCCTCCGTGTGCTGGACAGGAGAGGGAAGTGCAAGTAAAATAAAAATTAAATCAAGATTAAAGGGAGAAAAACGTAAATTCACTGTCTCCTCACCACTATGATGCAGGGGTGGGTGTTTATTTAGTTTGTTGTTTGTTTTGTAATAGATTTTAAAAAGAAATGTAAGGTTCAATATGTTGATCTAATGTTTAAAGCCAATGTTGGAATATGTCGAATTTATAGAGCCTAAATTCACCCACAAAGTTTAACAAATATAATGAATTCTCAGAACATTTAATTATATTATTGAGTTTTTTTTATTTATTTATCATAGCAGAGATGGAAATTTGAGAAGGATGAATTCTGGTTTTCATGATTTAAACTGTTTGAGTTCATGTCTTTAATCTGTTCGTTGTGATTGTTTCTTCAGATATTAGATAAACTGCCAGTTTGTTTGTTTGTCACTGAACAGATTTCCATTAAAGTCAGTGAATGGACCACAAGAAGAACCTTGTGCACATCTGGACAAAGAGGAGCATCGAGGAGTTTGTCTTCTTTCTTTAACAATGTGTGATCGGGCTTCTTTATTCATCTCTTGGGGATTCATGGATTTTTCAGTTATTTCTGTGTCTGTGCAATTTGGTCCAAATCTAAATAAAAATCTGAAATCCACGAAGCAGATTTTGCGTAATCCTGCAAACAAACAAACAACTAATTTTCATGGAAATCAGATTCAGATATTAGTTGTGTGTGGAGACCCTGACACCCTTCAGGCAGAAAGTTGTTCCACTGTGTGTTTCATTGTAATGAGAGAAGCTGACAGCTGGAGAGGCCTCCTCCACACTCCTGCCTGACAGATACAGCTCATTGTCTCTGTGTGAAAACCCACATCATCCAAACACGCAGCAAAGACTCTCAGAGAGCAAACACGAGCGCTGTGGGTTCCTCACGATGCGGCTGACAACAGTAATTACACGTTAGACTCAAACTCCCAGACTCCTCCTCACTCTCCTTCGCCTCGCATCTTCCCACACCGAGCTCTTTACACTCGGATCTCACAGGTACATAAACCGATAACGTCTAATTCTTAGGTCAAATATTTTAATAGTCGTTCAGTCTTTAAGTAGCATTCAGCAAAACCAAGAAACAGTTGAACAATTTGTGGAGAAATCCAAGACAACAAAAGCATGCTCAGTTTAATCCCTGAAGCTGGGCTGCGTTCAGCAAGACGTTCTGCAGGAGAACCACACGAGCGTCTTCTAAGCAGATCATTTAGAGAATAATGAGGTACTTTAAAGTTAACATTGAGAGTTTGCTGTGGTGTAAGCTATGTTTTCACATGAGGTCAAGTCCCGATAAATAAGGTTCTCTGAAAAAAGGTTGTTGAACGCAGCTTGAGCTTCAGGTGTTTAAGTATCAGAGGAAAAACAAAAACATGGGAAAAGCTTCCAACAAGTAATTTTCTGGAAGATCACTGTGCAAAGAGTGACGAGCTCCGTTCATTTTACAGTTTCTTACAAAAAAGTCGACTCATTTCGTTCTGAGACAGTTTTTATAAATGATGCTGTTGTTGCTTAGTGATCATCAATATAACAATAAATAAACAAACATCCATCAGAGAGATTATTATGTGCAGAAACACCTTTCACATCAAAATGAAGAAATCATGCAGAGGCTGCAGAAACTTTGGCTCCTTCACATCGAACGAGTGTGAGAACCAAGAGTCCGAGGGAACGTTTGGGATGTGGCTGCTACTGGTTTGAGAAGAAATAACAAATTAATTAATTAACTAAAATACTGATTCATGAAATCGATGCAAATCCTCTAATTTTTATCGAAACATATTGGAAGTCTGATGATGCATAAATCG